ATTCTTGATTTATAGGCTCGGAGTTCGAGCTGTCTCTTGGTTCGGCTCACACGAGACGTCGCAAATAGGACAGCTTGGTCGGTGTTACGATTATCTTTACTTCATAATTTTTATCAATTGTCAGTTTATCATCATTAATACTTGACTGTTTTGACTGAATTTGTAATATAAGTCCAAACATCGTAAAAACCGTTGACTTAGAGGGATATTTGATCGGTTCCATCTATCAGAGTATCACGAGCTGGCGAAAAGAGGAAGTGGGGTTTTTTCACTTTTCTTAGTTTTAACTATTTAAGTTAATTACCTAATTACCCACCTCATAATGTCACAGTTGCCCTCGAAGTGTTCTTTTAAAAGACCAACTAAAAGTAATCGTTCGGTTCCGATGATACCATAGTCATATAACTTATGGTTCTCATGGCAATATTTAGCCATCGTTGATATTAATCTATATTATTTATATGGTGTCAATTTATACTGTACAGATCANAGTTGCCCTCGAAGTGTTCTTTTAAAAGACCAACTAAAAGTAATCGTTCGGTTCCGATGATACCATAGTCATATAACTTATGGTTCTCATGGCAATATTTAGCCATCGTTGATATTAATCTATATTATTTATATGGTGTCAATTTATACTGTACAGATCATGATCAAATGTACAGTAGTTGGAAATGCATCTACATCTTATTAAAAAGCTGAGTGATCCAAACGCGATATTTTTCATAAATTTAAAGTAAATAATACGAATTGTTGAATTTAACACAAGTTGACGCGATAACCTGCCACTTTATTCCAAATTAATATATTTATTCATTAGTAATATTATAGCCCGAATGCAGTGCAATGACAGTTGGAATATTCCATATATTACTGTTTTTTGCAACAGGACAGAAGACAACGCATTTATCCGTGTATCACGAGATACGAATAGGTGGTTTGAAAATAAACAGATTGGCAAATTTGTAACCCTACATAAAACGTCTGGGGATCTTGGTTGGCTGAATTTATGACCAAAATCATCAAAATATCAATCTTAAACAAGCAATTGTCACTGCTTGAAACTTTTTTGAGGCATCAATCATAAAAAACCTTGTTGATAGCATGCCAAATTGCATTTTTAATGTTACCAGAAAAGAAGGCGCGCAAAACAAATATCTAAATTAAACTATTTTGTAATATATAATTTTTTTATAGTCATTTACTAATCGATTCTATACTTTTGTGGTGCTTAAAATCAGTTTGTTACAATTTCTGCCGTTTGCAACGATATTAGGAAACTATGAGTTTTGACAAATTATGTTTTCCTAAATCCTGAACAATATAAGTAAGGTAGCTACATCATATGTGTAATTCCTAACCTTCTTATTGTAAATTTGCAGTGTTATTATACTTTTGTGAACCACTGTATTACTGCTTTAATACATCCTGACATTGGCACAGAAAATAGACGTTGGTTATTCATTTCCGTCACGTGTCCCTCCTAAACAATTGGCTAGTAAAGGTGAATAAGCAAACAAATAGCATATCCTGAACTATCAAATTGGTCTGCTTATCCAGCTGTATTAATTAATACTCGAGTCGCCTACAGAATTGATAGTTAGGATAAACCTTTAAAAAATGTGAGTATAAGCTATAGTTGTCTCCACAGCTTTACATTAGTGAAACAGAATGTGTTTTTAGGGCAATTACCTAACCTCTGTATACTACATCGACTGTCGTTCTAGACCATTAAAACGTGGCACAGTGGGACTAAATACCAAAAAGCTGGCCAAAAGTCGAAAAATAGAGTTTAAGTTCCGGTAATTTCTAGTCGTGGGTTCGGTTGGATAAGAGTCCGAAGGTCGAATTCTAGACTTTAGCGCCCCCTATCCCTTATACCTGCTATTGTAGTTTAGTTGAAAGGGGACCCTCAATCGAGCTAGACGCGTCATGCAGTAAGCAAAGATTTCTACGCTATATTCAAGAGGGTGCCAAATCTCTAAAAATCAATCGAATTTAAATTTAAAAAATGGAATTTGCAGCTGCAAGTAAGTAGAATATCATTATGTAACACAAAATTGATAATAATACTTTATGTGATAACAGTAAACGAATGATTTGTACGAAAATGAACGGAAGATTAC